CTCGTTACAGCAAGACGCGGAAAGTCTTCAAAAAGCTCGACACACTAATACGGAGGAAATTTTGCCCTATAAAGATGCGCATGACGCGATTGGGTTTAATAAATTTTGCGTGATAGTTAGCTCGCCCAAGAAGTGCCCAGCGAGGCAAAGTGAGTTGCCATTTCTGCGCACGAAAACGAGTGAGGCAGGTTCGAGTATTTCGCCCACGGTTGGGCAGGCTTCGGAAAAGGCCGTTGCTTTTGGAAATCAGGGCGAACCTACGGTAGAATTTGTTAATGAGAAAACGAGCTCAGGCCCTGCGCTCCCGTCGGAGCGGGCTGCGACAAGGGTCATGGTCACGCGCGTTAGAGGTGAGCTTGTTGATAATAGATTTGGGTGTGGACGTTCGGTCATTGGTGCCGACACACCTTCCGTTTTGGTGAGGGGAGGGTCTGAGTGGAACTGAGAAATCCCGAAGAAAACGGCTAATAAATCGGACGCAACGTTAGCCGCAGTTGTAGAGAACAGGTTCTTTATCAAAGTCGACATAGGCGGGTAAGTCTATACAGCGCTGTTAGATTCAGGTGCTCAGATATCGGTAGTAGGATCGAATCTCGGCTTACGGTTTAGAGACCGTTTAAAGCCGCCTACGATATTCGTACAGGGCATCTCGGGTGAGAAGTCGCGAACTTGGGGCGACTTAAAGCTGAGTTTTGAAATTGACGGTAGGACGGATTGGTTAATTGCGACGGTAGTATCTACGCTTAAGTACGACTTGATTTTAGGAGCCGACTTTTGGATAGCGTGGAATATAAATATTAGCTACGGTAATCGCGCTTGGCGAGCAAGTGATCAAGGCGATTGGTATTCGTTAGCAGAGCAGAGTAGTAACGAGACAGTCGTTTTTGCGGAATGCGCAGGTTTAAGTAAGTACGAGGAGGCTCAGCGAGAAACAATCCTGGCGTTAGTTCGCCGGATTGTCCCTGAATCTCGTGAATCTCCGGCGGTTACAAGAGTTGTCGAGCACGTCATCGATGTAGGTGATGCGCACCTGATAAAGACTTCGATGCGTTGAATGTCGCCTCCGGTATTAACGTTCACGCAAGAAGAAACTATGCGGCTTTGGAAAGCGAAAATAATTAAGCCATCGAATAGTCAATGGAGTAGTGCGCCGGTAATCGTACGAAAACAGGACGGTGGTTATAGATTTGCCTCGATTTTAGATCAGTAAATAAGGTGACGAAAGTAGACGCGTATCCGATGCCTAGCATTGACGCTATCTTAGACAGGTTGCGCGGAGCAGTCTACCTGTCGAAAATAGATCTGCGAGCGGCGTTTTGGCAAATTCCGCTTTCAGAGAATAGCAAACAATATACGGCGTTCGCTGTCCCTGGTCTCGGTTTATGGGAGTTCGAGTGAATGCCGTTTGGTTTGATAAACGCGCCGGCTACTTTCACGCGTCTTATGGATGCACTTTTCGGCCCAAAATACGAGCCGCATGTTTTTTGGTACCTCGAAGATTTGCTGGTAGTTAGCGTGGATTTCGATAGCCACATGGTTTGGTTAAAGAAGATACTGAAGCGTTTAGTAAGTGTTGATCTAGAAATCAACTTAGAAAAGTCCAATTTCTTTTGTACCGAGGTAACTTATTTAGGATACAGGTTAGATAGCGAGGGATTGCGTCCGGATGAGGACAAAGTAAAACCAATAGTAGATTATTCTGCACCGAGTAACGTAGCTCAATTGTGCCGTTTTCTATGTATGGTAGGATGGTATGCGCGTTTTATCGACTACGAGAGTGAGATAAAGGTCCCGTTCACCAAGCTTATTCGAAAGGACCAGCCATGGGAATGGAAGGAAGAACAGCAAGATGCATTTGAGAGGTTAAAGCGCGCATTAACAAAAGCGGCGTTACTCGCGCGCCCTGATTTTACGTGCCCCTTTTACTTGCACTGCGATGGCTCTTCCTTCGCGGTTGACGCGTGTTTGTTCCAGGTATTCGACGACGGCGAGCATCCCATATGCTACGCCGGATGGATGCTAAATGCGCACGAGCGAAATTACACTGTGTGCGAAATCGAGTTTTTGGCAGTACTTTTTGCGGTAAAAAAATTTAGACCTTATATAGAAGGCTCACACTTTGTCATCGTTACGGATCATAGTGCGCTCACTAGAATCCTAAATAAACGCGAGCTAACAGGCCGATTGGAAAGATGGGTATTAGAATTTCAGCAGTTAGATTGCAAAATAGTACATAGAAAGGGAGCGCTGCACTATGTTCCGGACGTACTTTCGCGAGAATTTGGGGATGAATTCGAGGTTTGCGCATTCGATAAGATACAGGATGCTTGGTATCTATAACGCCTGAAAGACATTCTTCAAAGATCGAAGAAATTCAAGAATTGGAGAGTAGAGAATAACATTCTGTATCGGTTCATGCGCGATCACTTGCTCGATCCGATAACTAATCGCGGGGAATGCTGGCGCATGATGGTGCCGCTGGAGTACCGGGAAAGGGTGTTGAGAGACCCTCATTGCGAACCGTTCTCCGGACATTTCGGCCGTGAAAAAACTTACGATCAAATTGCTCGCGAGTATTATTGACCAGAAGTGTGGTATGATGTGAGGATGTTCGTAGATAAGCGCTCTCAATTTCAGAATTATAAGGTAGTCCAGCAGGCGCCTCAAGGCTTAATGGGTAAACACGTAAAACAGCGCTGCCGCGATGCCTTTAGGGTGGACCAGGCGCGTAGGATGCTTGTAGAGGAGGGAAAGGCTCGGGAACGCTCCAGTGATCCGGTAGGACTCCAGGCTTTGCGGTCGGAAACCGTGGAGCCGGAGTCAAGGGTCCCTGAGGCGAGGCCAGAGATAGCCAGTCCTGAGTCTTTCGTCGGGGAGCCAAAGGCGAAGAAACCCCGACACAGGTGCGGTAAGAGGCACAGGGAGAGGCTCGCGAGTAAAATACTTGCCGCAGAGGGAAAGCAAACTGGAGCCAGCACGACCAGCAACGCGCGAACAGAGGTCACGACGCGGACGGAACGGGCGCCGGTATCCACGAGTCTGCCGGTGAATCGTGACGCCAGGGTAACTGGGCCTGAGGCGGCTGAGGTTGCCGGCTATAGGCTATCCGGTTTAAGCTCACCTCCACTTACAGTGGAAGAGCTCCGAGCGCTCAGGCTCCGGTAGTTGGAGTCGCTACAGCCTTTTGTAATACCTATTGCAAATTAAAAATTATTTTCAACCATCTTTCTTTTATAAGAAAAAAAATATCTTGATGTCTAGTATAAAATCTTTTCTTGAAAAGAAAGAGATTATCTTTAGGCTCTTATCTTTGTCCTTTGCTTTCGTCTATCTTTAACCTTTAACAACAATAGCTCTAGAGAGGGACCGAAAGTCACTGCAGCAATCTCTCGATGATTGGTGGCAGACCTAGAAACCATATTCTATTCCCGTTCATTTCAAGTAGGAGAGACTGCGTATGTACGTTTCAATCATCATCGGTGGTCTCATATATACTTACAACCACGCGTGATTACGCGGATCCGCCGCAGCTGTTCTGCTTACAACATACGTACAACTATACGCGACTGGTGAAACCTCCCGCAGGCGTTCTAAAACGCTATCACGCGAACTTTTACGATTGATCTGAAACATAAATTGCTTAACTATCGTTATTTAATGAAAGGTCAACATTGTTTTATCATTTTCTTACCTACACTTGTAACAGATCAGCAGCCTTTACTGGTACTGTTGTCACCATTTCTTTGAAAAGGGGGAAGTAAGAAAAACGCACTCGCTTTTAACAATCGAAAAATAGAAAACATAGGTCGAATAAATAAGTTTGCTACTTATTCAATTAAATTCACGTCTTATTTTACCAATGAATAAAATGCACTTAACCTAATCATTGAACATATCATTTTATCAACTAAACAAATCACAACGTCAGGGTAGCCGGCGAGCGAGCGCCTGGCTACCTGCTAATTCGCGCAACCGCTAATCACCGCGAGAGGAACAATGACCAGGAGAAAGAGAGGACTTGACCTTTGAAGATCTCTAGGTGGCGAAGGTAGCTGCGGCGAAGTTGATCTAACTCCTGGACCAATCAATGTTGCTAATGTGGAAGACGCAGTACCAACGTCGTACTGCCCTCTGAGACCAATGGCAAGAATGCGCTCAAAACCAGACAAGGAGCAACTAGCGCAAGAAGTCGCTTGGTTTAGCGAGTCGATAAATAGAATTCTCGGAACAAAAAGTGTCCGGAATTCTTGCTGTGGCTAGTCACTGCGCTCTCGCTAGGTTCTCCCACTTATTAGGCGGCGTGTGGCGACAACACTAATTGATCATGCGCCGCACCCCTGACTCAACTTGTATAGTGCATGCATAGCGCGCTCTTTCTCTCCCTCTAACCTTCTCTACGTCTCTCTCTAACTCTAGTCGCTCCTTCTTGGGGCCATCTTGGTCGTGCTCGTCAGTCATCGGCGGCTAGAAAAATAGAAAGGCCACTAGTTAGGCGCAATACAAACATTCGCCCAACGCTGACCACACTGCCTTCCCAAGCAGAAGATAGAGAAAGAGAGAGAGAGAGAGAGAGAGAGAGAGAGAAGGAAAAGACGACAAGCAAGCACATTGTTTGATCTCGTCATATATTCATCAAGCTCAATCTTCTTTCATAAGATTACAAACAAATTTTGAAACAGAAAATCAGGAAAACTTTAATCACAAAAATGTAACTGTTCAAAAAAGTTAAAATTGATTAATTTCGACAACATGAAGAGAAAAGTTTACAGTCGTATAGTCACATCGTTTTAGCTATTTATTCGAACTTACATGATTGAGATAAATTGTAAAAAGTATAAATTTCATCTTTTCGTTCGCTCCATGAAATATTTTTTTGTAATAATTTTATCGAAAACGTAGGAAAAATGCAGTTCTTTGATATTAAAAAATGAGTTGAGAAATGATGAAACTTATTGGCTTTGATTTATTTACTACGTTTTAAAAATAAAAACAATACATACGTTAGAAAATAGGTACCCCACGAACTCGCAGATCCAATGACATTAGGCATCATCCCTCTATATAATCCCCGACATCCTTCTGTTTTAATAATTTTCATAAAAGCATTAACTGATCCATTATAAGACGGTATTGATTTTGAACGTCCGTCATTCACTGCAAATAAAAAAAATTATGTCAAAAGACCTGTCACCATTTCATATTTTTTGAAATTCATATTCAGTTATTTTTCAATTGCAATAAAAAATATCTTCATAAAGAAGAACATCAATAATGGAAAATTAATTATATGATATGGAAACTCACGCACAAACACATACACGTACGAACGTATACACGTATAATTTCACCATGCGGATCCCAAATCAGTAGTCCTGTAACAGGTACGAAAAGAGGAGGAGAAGGAGTATAAACATTGTTAAAGTAACCAAGGAATATATAACATAGGTGTTCACTGTTAAGCTTTGGAATGAAATAAAAGAGAAGAAGAATATCCTTGATATTTGTGAAAAAGGAGAAAAGGTGGCTTTTACAAGATTGCGCTACAAATTATATAAATTACAACATTTATTCTATGAGGTCCTGTGCTCAGTCAACATTAACACATTGGCGAATGAATTCGGATCAATTCATGACATAAGCAACAGAGCTTACAGTGATTGCATTGTTCATTTTTGCATCGACTGCGGAGGTGACAATAGCTCATGCTACTCGCTCTGAAGTTCTTTTAGTTCTCTTATCGCCCCACGCATCTGAAAATATCGTGCATGCAGTCTTTAGAGATATGCACTTGCTATTTTTTTCTGATGATATTTATGTTAGCTCCACACTCCGCCGGGCAGTACTGCGATCGCACCACTTTGCTGTTAGCCCTAAAGGGAGCAGATATAAAGGAGTGAGGCTTATCTCCTTCAGTATACGGCGCTATCTGCACTATCTGGCATTTTTGGTTTTAAAAAACACCATTCATTGAACTTGGACGCGGGTATCTAGTCGTGAATTCTTCGGTCATGCGTTGCTGCTGTATTCACTACTAAAGGCGGTGGCGGGGAGCGCCACTCAAAATCGTCGGTAACAGCTACATTCGTTCGCAGAGATTGTAATGAATATCATTGATCAATATACTCGGCAACAATTAGATGTTACACGCTTAAAAAAATCGATTGAAATATGTGATCAAGTAATCTGTATGGCGACTTTACTATTCCATGTAAGCCAAAGTGTATCTCAGGCAAATTTATAATGTTTTTCCGTACGCTGTATTAAGGCAGCTAATCACGTGTTGCTGCCTGCGATTGCCGCACAGTCAAGTCGATCGACTTTCAAATGCTTAGGCGTATATACTCCTCATCATTCCACCAGGTTATCAGGTAGGAAGATATCAAGGTAGACTGACGGTACATTGGATAGCTGGCACCGGTGGTAAATTCCGACTATTAATATTCGTAGATGAATCTACGACAGATAATGTTAGTAATCCACCCGTCGAAATAGTGTTCCGATTCGATTGTTGGCGTTTCGGAAGAAAGTAAGTTCATAATTTTAGAAGTACGGGATCTACTTATACTTCGCTCTCTTACGCATCTTTAACGAGCTGTCGTTAATGTCGGCCTTTTTTTGTTTCTAGAGCGACTATTTAACTGCCAACAACTGGGTTCTAGAGGTTCCACGTAGCAAATTTATTTTAAAGTTCATATCTGCTCTTCACTGATCCTATTCTGCCTTAGTCCGGCCTCGATTAAATGTGATATATCTTTTTCTAATTCTTCTCATACGTCTTAGTGACTATAATAATATCATTTCAATTTTTAAATTCTTGCGGCTCCCAACTCTTGCCAAATAGTTATATATTAAGAACATAAATAAAACAAATTTATTTAATAAACTTAAAATCATCATATTGATCTTCTATATATCAACATGTAGGTTTCACTATTCTTATCCAACGTCATCTAAAAACACACGCTTTTCTGATTTATCTTTGAAATAGAACAGGTATGATGCAAACCATTTAACGTGAAATTCACGCTTAGTATCAAGTATGTATTGAATCTTGTACTTTTATTTATAGAGTGGAGATCACGGCTTAAGCAATGAATGCCACTACTTTTCTTTACTACGATCAGTACGCTAATCTATTCTTTATTGAATGATTGAAGCAATTCGTTATCTAACGAATTCTGTGCATTTTTTTTTAATAATTGCTCGCATCACAGACGAGTAATTACGAAGTAGTGTTTTTATCGGATACGATTACAATGCGCTGATTTAGTTTTGAGAATTAACAAACTTCCTACCTTGGTACCCTTGCGCATTTCACCCTTGATTTCAATGGATCCACGGGACTTTTTATGTCTTTATAAAGATACTTGCATACCATCGTTACTTGCATGTCCATGTTATATAACGTATTATATGTTATATAATTACTTACAGTAATTTGAATAACAAGTAAAACACAATTCTTTCCTATACTTGCGCTAACATAACTTAACATAACATATATGTCGAATTTTTGAGTCTTCTTGTTTATTGTTGATTTGTTCTTCTCACTGCTCTCATCCACCATGGAATTGTCTTCATGCAGAACACTAATTAGATCACTACTCGCAGTATTGCCATATCTTGCATTAAAGATCATGGAGAATGCCATATCTCATATACAAGATATTCCAAATGTTATGAGATACCTGAATAACTCGTAAGGTACATTATTATTTGAAAGCATTAAGCTGTAACCGTTAGGAATTTTTAACGATGAATTAAATGGTAATCTTTATTTTTATCTCGGCAATGACCTTCAAAGCGATTTCAAGGTCGACCTTTTTTTCAATTGGAAAGCCCCTTTTTTACTCCGAAAATAAAAAGAATGGAAAATTTTATGTTCAAATATGTATTAATTTCCAAGGTCAAGGTAACATCTAAAGGTCAAATGAAGGTCATCAGTTCAGATTGCGATAAGATCAATAAGAGTATCATGCAGTGGATCAGCAACTTTATGTGTTAAAAAAACTGGAAATACTACCTAGGGAGTTTATAGAATCGCTAATCAACAATCTCATTCTCAATAAAATATCTCACGTTTCGAGATACATTACCCACACCATTTGATTAGATTATTAATATTAATTGTAATAAATATTGACTACAACGATGGTCAACTTGAAAAGTAAGCAGTTTTTTCGTTTTTAACCATTTTTCCAGATCTAAAAAATGCACTTGAAATTATTTCCAAGCAATTAAATTTGGTTAATTTCATAGTAGCTGACCTGTAAAATGGAAATTAAAGAAAGAAAATCGATTTTGAATAATAAGATAAAGCATGAAAAAGAAGAAAAACAAACGTTTGTTCGGACTAGAAGCGAACAATTAGAAAAAAAAAATAATTTTAAGATTTGAACAAGAAAACATTAAGTATCAATATTTTATTTACATAAATTGTTACATTAATATTTGAAAAGTACAATTTTCAAATTATCTTGTGTTACCAAATTTTATGAGAAATTCAGATTTTAGTTTTCACTTTAATTTAAAAGATGGACAGATTAAGCGAAAGAAAAAGAATATCTTTTTTTATGATTAGAATTAGGAATGTAAAAAATGCTTTTAACGACACATTTAGGAATGAGGTAGTTAAAGTTTCAACATAAACAACTGAACGAACTATTAGATGGTTCCATGCAATAGATACTGAGGGATATACGAGGGTGGTCCGATAAGTACTTAACCTACAAAAGAAAAATGAAAATTTTGGAAAAATGGGCTTTTATTTTTCAACATAGTCACCTTTTAGTTCGATACATTTCGCCCAGCGATGCTCCAACTTCTTTAACCCATCTGAAAAATACGTTTCCTTGAGGTCTGAAAAGTAGGCTTCCGTGGCAGCGATTACCTCCTCATTCGATTCAAATTTCTGTCCGGTGAGTGACTTTTTCAAGTTTGGAAACAAAAAGAAGACGCACGGGGCTAAACTTGGAGAATACGGTGGATGGAGCAGCAGTTCGTAGCCTAATTCAACCAATTTGGCCATGGCGACGGCGGAGGTGTGAGCCGGTGCGTTGTCATGGTGGAAGAGCACTTTTTTCTTCGCCAAATGGGGCAGTTTTTTCTGCAATTCGACGTCGAATCGGCCCAATAATTCGGCATAGTACAGCCCTGTGACCGTTTTGCCCCTCTCCAGGTAATCGATGTAGATCACACCTTGTGAATCCCAGAAAACGGTGGCCATCACCTTTCCGGCCGATGGGGCAGTCTTCGCCTTCTTCGGAGCACTTTCGCCGGGTAAAGTCAACTGTTTCGACTGTTCCTTGGTCTCTGGTATATACCAGTGGATCCATGTTTCGTCGACTGTCACAAAACGACGCAGAAACTCCTTCGGATTGCGCTTAAACACCGTCAGACATTGCTCTGAAATTGTCTCACTTGCGCTTGTTGTCCGGAGTGAGCAAACGCGGCACCCATCGCGCCGACAGCTTTCTCATGCCCAAAATGTCATGCAGAACATGACCCACGCGGTCTTTTGAGATGCCAACGATCTTAGCTATCTCGTGCACCTTCAATCGTCGATCTGCCAATACGAAATCGTGAATTTTTGTCACGTTATCCTCCGTGATAGCCGTTTTAGGAGCACCTGGACGTGGCTCTTCAAAAATCGACGTGCGCCCACGTAGAAACTCGTTAAACCAATTTTTGACGGTCGCCATCGAAGGAGAAGAGTCACCGTACACAGCATCCAAGCGCTTTTTGATTTCGCTGCGCGATTTCCCTTCCAAAAACAAGAATCGAATCACCGACCGATACTGCTCTTTATCCATTTTTCAAAAATCAACGGACACACTTGCTTTCACACGCTCTCAAAAATAAACTACAACTCCGATCCGGCTGAAATCTTGACAGTAAAAATCGAGGAGGTTGTACTACGTGATAGAATATTTCTTTTACGAGAGTGGCGCCATCGGGCGGTGAGGCTAAGTACTTATCAAACCACCCTCGTACTAAACTTAGGAAGATCAAGGTCAGCTGTAAATTAAGAAATCTTTAAACGATTTATTGTCTTTAAACGAAAATACCTCCATTCGTAGGATTAATGAAGACTATAATGTCAATAATATTATCTGATAGGCGAGGATTCGCTTCACGCGAATTCGTTCCGTATA